GCTGTCTGTGTATTAGTGTCTTAGTATCTGTATTAGTCTTGTGTGCACGATGTCTCCTAAATTAAATTATATATTGACTTCTAAAAAGGCATAGTAACTCCAGGGTTGTACTCAGTCTGATTAGATTTAGGCATCAAAGGGTCAAAGGTCAAGGTCATTTATGATGATTGGTAATATAAAACTGGCAGTTTTTTCAGAGGCAGGCAGAGACATACCAGCTGATGCTTTGGCATCGAGTTCCACCTTGTTCGAGTTCTTGTGTTTTACTTGCTTTTTTCCCCTTTGTTTGGCTCTCATTTTCTCTTTGTTTTATTTTCTCACTGTGAAGCACTGATTTTTATTCTTTAAACACTGATGTATACACATGCATATTGATTTTTAATCTGAAAGAAAGAAGCAAGAAAGTGTTGAGAAGCAGCATGGTTTTTCAGGCTGCATCCTGCAGATTTATTTGCACTCACTCAGCAGATGTGCTCTCACATTGTATACAGCTGAGATGTTTGAAAGTTGATTTATTGCTGAGCTCTRATAAAACGTTAAAATCCTCTGTGTGTTTTTCATCACACGTCAGTATCGGTGCAGATCATCATAAAAACGTCTCATAAAAAAGGCCAAAGCACACACAATGAGCTGTGTGCCAGCTTTGAGTGTGTTTTAATGTGCTCTGGACTTTCCTTAGGCTTGGGGGTGTTGCTCGGTCATCCCTGCCTCAGCCCCACGCTCACACTGACCCAGTGACTCCACAGGTAAGAGAAAACATTTCAACTCATTTGTCAACAGTGATGAAGGCCAAACAGAGACCAGGTGGTGTGTCTGTGAAACTGCAGCATGTGTATGAGAACTCTCATCTTTCGGCAGAGAGGAATGCACCTCCTTCACGCTGTGCAATAATTAATGGGTGTGAGCGACTCTTTAGTGGAAAGAGTGCTGACAGACAGCACTCCAGAAACGCAGAGAATGCATGAACTCCTCACAGGATGAGGGCGGAGACTCCCAGCTGTCTGAAACAGGTTATCAAAGCTGGGATTCAGCATGATCTGAGGCCATGGGAGGACATGTATGAAGACAAGTGGGACTGAAACACTATTGTCCCTCAGTTCGTTCACTCTGTCCCTTAGTCTGTTGTCTCTGTAGTTCAGTCTCTTGTTTCTGTAGTTCAGTCTTTTGTCTCTCTGTAGTTCAGTCTCTTATTTCTGTAGTCAGGGGTGTCAAGTAACTAAGTACAAATACTGTTACTTTACTTAAGTAGAAATTTTTGTTTATTTATACTTTTATTTATACTCCTATTTTTAAAAATGCAAAAGGTTTTTCATTTCTATTTAACTTTGACTTGTTTTTATTCCATCTTTTCATTGTTCAGAAAAAAATAAACAGAACTCTATACATGGAGCCCATGGATAGAGTGAATTTGATTGTGGTTGGATGAGAAGTGTAAATAAATACTATTTTGACATCCTATTGGATTAAACTCACTCCATCACACCTGTATGACACAATCCCATCACATTCCAGCAGGACATACTGTAGCAGATGTATGTAGCCTAGAATGAAGATTATCATGGCTGAAGCTAGTCTTAATTCAAAAATTTTCAACATTAACATTTTAATTTAACATTATACTCATTACTGACTTTAGAAGAAAAGTGTGTGTGTGTGTATGTGTGTGTGTGTGTGTGTGTGTG